ATTTTTTATAATGGATTTAGTGGTGCTCCGTGGGATGTTCAAAGTTTCTGATATTTTTTTATAACCCAACCCTGATCTATACTTCTTCACAACTTTGTCCCTGACCTGTTTGGAGAGCTCTTTGGTCTTCATGGTGCCGCTTGCTTGGTGGTGCCCCTTGCTTAGTGGTGTTGCAGACTCTGGGGCCTTTCAGAACAGGTGTATACATACTGAGATTATGTGACAGATCAAGTGACACTTAGATTGCACACAGGTGGACTTTATTTAACTAATTATGTGACTTCTGAAGGTAATTGGTTGCACCAGATCTTATTTAGGGGCTTCATATCAAAGGAGGTGAATACCTATGCATTCACCACTTTTCCGTTATTTCTTTTTTAGAATTTTTTAAAAAATATAGTTTTTTTCATTTCACTACATGAAATCCAAATAAAAATCTATTTAAATTACAGGTTGTAATGCAACAAAATAGGATAAGGGGGATGAATACCTTTGCAAGGCACTGTAGTCATGGAACACTGGTCACTTTATTAATGGAACACTGGTCACTTTGTTAATGGACCACTGGTCATTTTATTAATGGAACACTGTTCACTTTAAATAATGTTCACATAATGTTTTACCCACTTTATATGTACAGTGCATTCGGAAAGTATTCAGACCCCTTGACTTTTTCCACATTTTGTTACGTTACAGCCTTATTCTAAAATGGATGTAAAATTTTAAAAATCCTCATCAATCTACACACAATAGCCTATAATGACAAAGCGAAAAATGGTTTTTATAATTTTTTGCAAAAAAAATACATTGAAAATAACAGAAATACCTTATTTACATAGGCATTCAGACCCTTTTCCATGAGTCTCAAAATTGAGCTCCGGTGCATTCTGTTTCCATTGATCATCCTTGAAATGTTTCTACAACTTCATTGGGGTCCACCTGTGTTAAATTCAAATGATTGGACATGATTTGGAAGGCACACTACTGTCTATATAAGGTCCCACAATTGACAGTGCATGTCAGAGCAATAACCAATCCATGAGGTCGAAGGAATTGTCTGTAGAGCTCCGAGACAGGATTGTGTTGAGGCACAGATCAATTATATAATTATAATTATAGGAAGGGTACCAAAACCTTTCTGCAGAATTGAAGGTCCTCAGGAACACAGTGGCCTCCATCATTCTTAAATGGAAGAATTTTGGAACCACCAAGACTCCTCCTAGACCTAACCGCCCGACCAAACTGAGCAATCGTGGAAAGGGCCTTGGTTAGGGAGGTTACCAAGAACCTGATGGTCACTCTGACAGAGCTCCAGAGTTCCTCTGTGGAGATGGGAGAACCTTCTAGAAGGACAACCAGCTCTGCAGCACTCCAATCAGGCCTTTTTTGTAGAGTGGCCAGACGGAAGCCACTCCTCAGTAAAAGGCACATGACAGCCCGCTTGGAGTTTGCCAAAAGGCCCCTAAAGGACTCTCAGACCATGAGAAACAAGATTCTCTGGTCTGATGAAACCAAGATTGAACTCTTTGGCCTGAATGCCAAGCGTCACGGGGGCGGCAGGTAGCTTAGTGGTTAAGAGTGTTGTGCCAGTAACCGAAAGGTCACTGGTTCTAATCCCCGAGCCGACTAGGTGAAAATCTGTCGATGTGCCCTTCAGCAAGGCACTTAACCCTAATTGCTCCTGTAAGTCGCTCTGGATAAGAGCGTCTGCTAAATGGCTAAAATGTATTCAATTCTGACCAGTTTCCCAGTCCCTGCCGATGGAAAAACATCCCCACAGCATGATGCTGCCACCACCATGCCTCAGTGTGGGGATGGTGTTCTCGGGGTGATGAGAGGTGTTTGGGTTTGCGCCAGACATTTTCCTTGATGGCCAAAAAGCTCAATTTTAGTCTCATCTGACCAGAGTACCTTCTTCCATATGTTTGGGGAGTCTCCCACATGCCTTTTGGCGAACATCAAACGTGTTTGCTTATTTTTTTTCTTTAAGCAATGGCTTTTTTCTGGCCACTCTTCCATAAAGCCCAGCTCTGTAGAGTGTAGGCTTAAAGTGGTCCTATGGACAGATACTCCAATCTCTGCTGTGGAGCTTTGCAGCTCCTTCAGGGTTATCCTTGGTCTCTTTATTGCCTCTCTGATTAATGCCCTCCTTGCCTGGTCCGTGAGTTTTGTTGGGCGGCCCTCTCTTGGCAGGTTTGTTGTGGTGCCATATTCTTTCAATTTTTTTATAATGGATTTAGTGGTGCTCCGTGGGATGTTCAAAGTTTCTGATATTTTTTTATAACCCAACCCTGATCTATACTTCTTCACAACTTTGTCCCTGACCTGTTTGGAGAGCTCTTTGGTCTTCATGGTGCCGCTTGCTTGGTGGTGCCCCTTGCTTAGTGGTGTTGCAGACTCTGGGGCCTTTCAGAACAGGTGTATACATACTGAGATTATGTGACAGATCAAGTGACACTTAGATTGCACACAGGTGGACTTTATTTAACTAATTATGTGACTTCTGAAGGTAATTGGTTGCACCAGATCTTATTTAGGGGCTTCATATCAAAGGAGGTGAATACCTATGCATTCACCACTTTTCCGTTATTTCTTTTTTAGAATTTTTTAAAAAATATAGTTTTTTCATTTCACTACATGAAATCCAAATAAAAATCTATTTAAATTACAGGTTGTAATGCAACAAAATAGGATAAGGGGGATGAATACCTTTGCAAGGCACTGTAGTCATGGAACACTGGTCACTTTATTAATGGAACACTGGTCACTTTGTTAATGGACCACTGGTCATTTTATTAACGGAACACTGTTCACTTTAAATAATGTTCACATAATGTTTTACCCACTTTATATGTACAGTGCATTCGGAAAGTATTCAGACCCCTTGACTTTTTCCACATTTTGTTACGTTACAGCCTTATTCTAAAATGGATGTAAAATTTTAAAAATCCTCATCAATCTACACACAATAGCCTATAATGACAAAGCGAAAAACGTTTTTTATAATTTTTTGCAAAAAATAATACATTAAAAATAACAGAAATACCTTATTTACATAGGCATTCAGACCCTTTTCCATGAGTCTCGAAATTGAGCTCCGGTGCATTCTGTTTCCATTGATCATCCTTGAAATGTTTCTACAACTTCATTGGGGTCCACCTGTGTTAAATTCAAATGATTGGACATGATTTGGAAAGGCACACTACTGTCTATATAAGGTCCCACAATTGACAGTGCATGTCAGAGCAATAACCAAGCCATGAGGTCGAAGGAATTGTCTGTAGAGCTCCGAGACAGGATTGTGTTGAGGCACAGATCAGAGGAAGGGTACCAAAACCTTTCTGCAGAATTGAAGGTCCCCAGGAACACAGTGGCCTCCATCATTCTTAAATGGAAGAATTTTGGAACCACCAAGACTCCTCCTAGACCTAACCGCCCGACCAAACTGAGCAATCGTGGAAAGGGCCTTGGTTAGGGAGGTTACCAAGAACCCGATGGTCACTCTGACAGAGCTCCAGTGTTCCTCTGTGGAGATGGGAGAACCTTCTAGAAGGACAACCAGCTCTGCAGCACTCCAATCAGGCCTTTTTTATAGAGTGGCCAGACGGAAGCCACTCCTCAGTAAAAGGCACATGACAGCCCGCTTGGAGTTTGCCAAAAGGCCCCTAAAGGACTCTCAGACCATGAGAAACAAGATTCTCTGGTCTGATGAAACCAAGATTGAACTCTTTGGCCTGAATGCCAAGCGTCACGGGGGTGGCAGGTAGCTTAGTGGTTAAGAGTGTTGTGCCAGTAACCGAAAGGTCACTGGTTCTAATCCCCGAGCCGACTAGGTGAAAATCTGTCGATGTGCCCTTGAGCAAGGCACTTAACCCTAATTGCTCCTGTAAGTCGCTCTGGATAAGAGCGTCTGCTAAATGGCTAAAATTTATTCAATTCTGACCAGTTTCCCAGTCCCTGCCGATGAAAAACATCCCCACAGCATGATGCTGCCACCACCATGCCTCACTGTGGGGATGGTGCTCTCGGGGTGATGAGAGGTGTTTGGGTTTGCGCCAGACATTTTCCTTGATGGCCAAAAAGCTCAATTTCAGTCTCACCTGACCAGAGTACCTTCTTCCATATGTTTGGGGAGTCTCCAACATGCCTTTTGGTGAACACCAAACGTGTTTGCTTATTTTTTTCTTTACGCAATGGCTTTTTCTGGCCACTCTTCCGTAAAGCCCAGCTCTGTGGAGTGTACTGCTTAAAGTGGTCCTATGGATATATACTCCAATCTCCGCTGTGGAGCTTTGCATCTCCTTCAGGGTTATCTTTGGTCTCTTTGTTGCCTCTCTGATTAATGCCCTCCTTGACTGGTCCGTGAGTTTTTGTGGGCAGCCCTCTCTTGGCAGGTTTGTTGTGGTGCCATATTCTTTCCATTTTTTAATAATGGATTTAATGGTGCTCCGTGGCATGTTCAAAGTTTCGGATATTTTTTTATAACCCAACCCTGATCTGTACTTCTCCACAACTTTGTCCCTGACCTGTTTGGAGAGCTCCTTGGTCTTAATGGTGCCGCTTGCTTGGTGGTGCCCCTTGCTTAGTGGTGTTGCCGACTCTGGGGCCTTTCAGAATAGATGTATATATGCTGAGATCATGTGACACTTAGATTGCACACATGTGGACTTTATTTAACTAATTATGTGACTTCTGGAGGTAATTGGTTGCACCATATCTTATTTAGGGGCTTCATAGCAAAGGGGTTGAATACATATGCACCCACCACTTTTCCGTTATTTTTTTCATACTTTTTTGAAATAAGTCATTTTTTTCATTTCACTTCACCAATTTGGACTATTTTGTGTATGTCCATTACATGAAATCCAAATTTAAATTACAGGTTGTATTGCAACAAAATAGGAAAAAGGCCAAGGGGAATGAATACTTTTGGAAGGCACTGTAAATGAGTGATTTTCAGTTACGAAGACCATAGTGGGCTGAATAAGGTGTTAACAAAAATGACGCATCCAGTTCGACCAATCACCAATAACCTCATAGTTGAATTACTGTCTACATGGAGGACTTTTTCCACTCAAGACACAGGTTGTGAAGAGGACATCTTCAAAGATGATCACACTGTGTCTGATACTGGCACTTCTTGTATAAAAGTCCAACTTTTATATTTCTCTGCTAAGTTACTTTATTGATGCAATTCATATATGTATTTGTTGGGTATATCAAGGACTTGTTGGAGAGACAGTGACTTTGCAATGCTTCTATAAAGGCAACCTGGCACTGTACTTTATGTGGTACAAGCAAACACTGGGTGACAATCCCCAAATCGTATCAACCTTTTACAGGTATAATAAGAATGCAACATTTTACCATGAGTTTAAGGGTAACACTCGCTTCTCAGTGCAAAGCGGTGAAGGAATTAATCACCTAAAGATATCAGACATGCAGCTCTCTGATTCAGCCACATATTACTGTGGGAACTCTTATGCCAACCAGGTGGAGTTTGGAGAAGGAGCCATTCTGATTGTGAAAGGTACAACATCTTAATTTAGAGAGAAAGGAAATAGTAACTCATGTTCTGCAACTATAATCTTGAGGGTTTTTTCACATTACGTTTTGGATACAATGGCTTAATGTCACGCCCTGATCGAGAGAACTCTCGTTGGTTGGGTCAGGGTGTGAGTTTTCTGTTGAGATCTATATGTTAGTGTATTTCTATGTGGTAGATCTAGGTTGTGTTTCTATGTTTGGCCGGGTGTGATTCCCAATCAGAGACCGCTGTCGCTCGTTGTCTCTGATTGGGGATCATACTTAGGTAGCCTGGTTGCCTACCTTAGTTGTGGGATCTTGTTCCGTTTAGGCTTGTATGTGTATAGCCTGAGGACTTCACGTTACGTTGTGTCTTGTTTTGTTTTGTGTTTATTGAGTTAATAAACATGTACGCTTTACACGCTGCACCTTGGTCCGACCCGTCTCTCAACGATCGTGACAGAAGATCCCACCAAACGAGGACCAAGCAGCGTGGCCAGGAGCAGACATCCTGGACATGGGAGGAGATCCTTGATGGTAAGGGATCTTGGACATGGGAGGAGATCCAGGCTGGGATGGATCGCCGTCCGTGGGAATGGACAGAGGAAGCCCGGGTAGGAGAGGAGCAACGGCGCCGGCCGAGGAGGAAGCCCGAGAGGCAGCCCCAATAAATGTTTTTGGGGGGGCTAGAGGGGTGGTCGGGGATCACGACGACGATGAGGTTCTGTTCCCTAACTCGTGGGGGCTCCCGGATTGGCGAGAGAGAGAGAAGGACTGGAGCAGTCTGAGAGAGGAGGTCACCACGTTACGGTGGCTGTTAGGGCAGAGGGAGCAGGAGTTATCCGTGCAGAGGGAGGCACTACAGGAGGCTCAAAGGGAGAAGGAAGTAGTGGAGGCACTGAGAGAGGAGCTGGTCAGGCAACAAAAGGAGTGTGTGTTCATTGAGTAACCTAGGTATGCAGAGATACGCACTGTGTCGCCAGTGCGCATTCACAGCCCAGTGCGTCCTGTGCCAGCGCCCCGCACGTGCCGTGTGAAAGTGGGCATCCAGCCAGGACGGGTTGTGCCGGCTCAACGCTCCTGGTCTCCAGCGCGCCTCCACGGTCCAGTATATCCTGTGCCAGTCCTACGCACTGTGTCGCCAGTGCGCGTTCACAGCCCAGTGCGTCCTGTGCCAGCGCCCCGCACGTGCCGTGCGAAAGTGGTTATCCGGCCAGGATATACTAGCTAGAGGGGTGGTCGGGGATCGAGAGAGAAGAGCCCCGACCACTGCAGCCGGTGGGTTCCAGTTGGAGTCCCTACGACCATGGGAACAGGAATGGGAACAGTTTTACACTGAGGAGTCGGAGGATGACGACGACGATGAGGTTCTGTTCCCTAACTCGTGGGGGCTCCCGGAGGAGTCCTCACTGGAGGAGGATTGGCGAGAGAGAGAGAAGGACTGGAGCAGTCTGAGAGAGGAGGCCACCACGTTACGGGGGCTGTTAGCTCAGAGGGAGCAGGGGTTATCCGTGCAGAGGGAGGCGCTACAGGAGGCTCAAAAGGAGAAGGAAGTAGTGGAGGCACTGAGAGAGGAGCTGGTCAGGCAAAAAAAGGAGCGTGTGTTCATTGAGAAACCTAGGTATGTGGAGATACGCACTGTGTCGCCAGTGCGCATTCACAGCCCAGTGCGTCCTGTGCCAGCGCCCAGCACGTGCCGTGCGAAAGTGGGCATCCGGCCAGGACGGGTTGTGCCAGCTCCCCGCACCAAACCAGTGGTGCCTGTATTCAGTCCGGCACGGCCCGTGTCTGCTCCTCGCACCAAACCAGTGGTGCGTGTATCCAGTCCGGCACGGCCCGTGCCTGCTCCTCGCACCAAACCAGTGGTGCATGTCCCCAGTCCGGTACGGCCCGTACCTGCTCACCGCACCAAACCAGTGGTGCGCATATCCAATCCAGTATGGCCCATACCTGCTCCCCGCACCAGACCAGTGGTGCGTGTTCCCAGTCCGGCACGGCCCGTGCCCGTTCCACCGGTGCCTAATCCAGCTCCAGTCAGTAACTCCATTCCGGAGTCAGAGCAGTCCGCTCCACCGGTGCCAAATCCAGCTCCGGTCAGCGGCTCCATTCCGGAGCCAGAGAAGTCCGCTCCACCGGTGCCCAGTCCCGCTCCGGTCAGCGGCTCCACTCCGGAGCCAGAGCAGTCCACTCCACCGGTGCCCAGTCCGGCTCCGGTCAGCGGCTCCACTCCGGAGCCAGAGCAGTCCGCTCCATCTGGGTCCAGTTCAGCTCCGGTCAGCGGCTCCACTCCGGAGCCAGAGCAGTCCGCTCCACCGGGGTCCAGTTCAGCTCCGGTCAGTGGCTCTACTCAAGGCCCAGACGTCAGCCCCTCTCCAGGGTCGGGGCCTCCCACACCAGGGTCCAGACAGGGCTTGGTGCATCGTGGGAGGATTGCCGATCCAGGCCCAGACGTCAGCCCTTCTCCAGGTTCGGGGTCTCCCACACCAGGGTCCAGACAGTGCTTGGTGCATTGTGGGAGGAAGGAGAGGGGAAGCATCGCGCCAAGGTCCAGACCAGACCAGGGGCGCAACGGGGAGGCAGAGAGGGAGAGGTCGTCACGCCCGGAGCCGGATCCGCCTCCGAGGCCCACCCGGACCCTCCCCTAATGAGTCAGGTTGGTGCGGCCGGAGTACGCACCTTTGGGGGGGTGTACTGTCACGCCCTGATCGAGAGAACTCTCGTTGGTTGGGTCAGGGTGTGAGTTTTCTGTTGATCTATGTTAGTGTATTTCTATGTGGTAGATCTAGGTTGTGTTTCTATGTTTGGCCGGGTGTGATTCCCAATCAGAGACAGCTGTCGCTCGTTGTCTCTGATTGGGGCTCATACTTAGGTAGCCTGGTTGCCTACCTTAGTTGTGGGATCTTGTTCCGTTTAGGCTTGTATGTGTATAGGCTGAGGACTTCACGTTTCATTGTTTCTTGTTTTGTTTTGTGTTTATTGAGTTAATTAACATGTACGCTTTTCACGCTGCACCTTGGTCCGACCCGTCTCTCAACGATCGTGACACTTAATTATGCTGTATTTGCATAATCAGATATTTCTGTGTATGATTCCAAAAATGTTAAGTTGGGACACAACATAGAGAACAGATTTACTGACTTATAAACCTTCTTGTCAGGATCAGGGTCCAGAAACATGTCTGTACTCCAGCAGCCTGTATCTGAGTCAGTCCAGCCAGGAGACTCTGTGACTCTGAACTGTACAATACACACTGAGACCTATACAGGAGAACACAGTGTCTATTGGTTCAGACATGGCTCAGGAGAATTTCGTCCAGGAATCATTTACACCCATGGAGAAAGGAGTGATCAGTGTGAGAACAGACCTGAGACTGGGTCTCCCTCACAGAGCTGTGTCTACAACCTCCCCAAGAGGAACCAATGCTGGGACTTACTACTGTGCTGTGGCCTCATGTGGGGAACCAAGCTGGACAATCAAGGTCATTTATTTGACCAATTTGACTAATTTACTATTTCAGGTCGTTTTTATATCGGTAGAAATTACACATTCAATATTCTTTACTTCAATATAACACTTTATTGATAATGAGCATACTAATTAATGTAATCCTTTGGTTTCAGAGTATGATTTCCCCATGACTCCCACTGCTCTTGCACTGGTCACATCAAACATTGTGTTTGTGATTGTCATCATTCTACTGACATGTGGGATATGCAATGAAAGGACCAGGGGGCCTAAAGGTAGAGTCAGACTTGCTGTTGTTCTGCATCTTTCATGCATATTACTAGTTACACTAATATACTTGCTGTTGTGGAATTTTTCATTGACTATAAATTTGGGCAACGTCCAAACCATATCCATTGTTATAGCGAGATTGCTTGTATATGTAACATGTTATTTTCTTCTTGTTTTTAATTTGAAGATGCAACTGATAGATCACCAACCCCACCAGTCGATCAGGTTAACTCTTTGTTGTATCACTTTTTTCTTAATCTCAAAAGGGTTTATCTAGTAGATGTGACCAGCATAATGTCTTGTTATGGCTCCACCTCTCTCACACAGAACCAATGCAGTGACATGGTAAACTATGCAGCTGTGAGTTTCACTGCCAAGAAAAGCTCCTCCTCCAGAAGAGAGATAGCCAAGACCAGCATAGTGGATGCAGAGCACTCTGAGGTCAGGTTCTTTCAGCAGGAGTGAGACATGTGAAGACCCTCACCACATTGAACGGAACCACATTCAAATACATTAGAAATAACTAATGTTTATTCTTTTGTATCTTTTCCGTATTAAACTCACCTTCTGCACCTGCTTTCTGACTCCCGGCTTTTACGTAACAGAATAAGACCTCAGCAATATTTAGGCAGCAGAAGATTCAACCCTCTTCCAGACGGTTAACGAACAAGGTAATCTACTCCATCAATACCACGACCGGCTGGTGAAACTGGGTACGGCCATAGAGGAGGTTCTCCACCGCCTCGACACCACCAGCGAGGTTCTCCATACCCCTATCAGAGGGCCTCCTACCACGGATCGTCACATTGAGCCAGCCCCCCAGCCTACCCAGCCATCCGCACAGGTCAGCAATGCCCGACTGTCCCTTCCGGAGAAATATGACGGCTTTCTACTCCAGTGCTCCCTCTATTTTGTCTATCAGACGGGAGCCCCACCACCGAGAGGTCCAAGGTTGCCACAGTCATTTCCCTGCTGGAGTGGGCTACGGCCGTCTGGGAGAAAGGAGAGGAGGAGCTGGGTTCTTATGAGAGGTTCATGGCTCTGTTCAGGGCGGTCTTCGACCATCCTCCAGAGGGCAGAGAGGGAGGTGAGCATCTTTTCCAGCTCCGGCAGGATTCCCAGACCGCTGCGGAGTACGCCCTCACCTTTTGCACTGTGGCAGCCTCCAGCGGATGGAATGAGCCGGCGCTCCGCACTCTATTCCGCAGTGGACTGCGCGAGGTGGTCCAGACGGAGTTGGCATGTTGGGATGACAACATATCCTTGGACGCTCTCACCATCGATGGCCATTGTCTGGATAATCTTCTTCGGGAGAGCAGGTGTCCACCTCGCCACTCGCCTCCCTCCTTTGGCTGTCCTGAGGCAGAGCCTGAACCCATGGAGGTAGGGGCCACACCCCTCTCCGTGGCAGAGCGGCGTCGCCGGAGACAGCTGGGGCTCTGTCCCTATTGCGGCCAGGAGGGGCACCAGCTTCAGTGGTGTCCGGTGTGCCCTAATCTGGGGTCCGCTAGAGCAGAGGGGCAGCCCCGTGACCTTCCGTCTCCCAGGGTAGGCATGAGTATTCCTGTATCATCGTTTTCCGCCAAACCCTTTATGGTTCCTGTTTCACTGGCTGTCCCTCAAGAGTTGTCTCCACCGCTTTAGTGGACTCCGGTGCTGCGGGGAACTTCATCGACCAGGCCCTCGCCTCCTCCCTGAACTTAAGCTGATACCCGCTCTCCTCTCCTTTTTCTGTCCAAGCCCTAGATACGCAACCATTGGGATCCGGCACAATTACGCACATCACTGCACCACTCACCCTCACCGTGGGACCCATGCACCAAAAATGTATTCCCTTCTTCATCACCACCACACCCATACACAAGGTAATCCTCGGCCTCCCGTGGCTCCAACGTCACAACCCCACCATCTCGTGGTTGAGCATGAAAATCACCGCCTGGGGACCAGAATGTCGGAAGACCTGCTTCCCTGTACCCTGTGGTTCTACACCGGTTGAGAGTCCTCTGAGTGCCCACCAGCCCTTCAATCGGTCCTCCCGTATCATTTGCCCCATGTTTTTGGACGTAGATGTGGACATCCGCCAGGCTCTGGCGAGGGAACCCACTCCTGCTATCTGCCCTCCAGAATGCATCTACGTTCCCACAGGGGTGAGAGATTGGCTGTTGACCTCGGCACACACATCCCTCGCCTCTGGACACCCAGGTATCACCCGCACCATCCAATCCCTCTCTGAGAAGTACTGGTGGCCCACCTTGGTGCAGGACATCGCCCTCTATGTCAACTCATGTTCCATATGTACCCAGTCCAAATCTCCCCGGCACACTCCAGCAGGGAAACTCCGTCCCCTTCCCATGCCTCAGCGGCCTTGGTCTCATCTGTCCATTAATTTCATCACTGATCTCCTTTATGGTTGATGCGGACAGATTTTCGAAATCCTGCCGTTTTATCCCTCTCTCTGGTCTCCCTACCGCTCTCCAGGTCGCTGAGGCACTGTTCCAGCAAGTCTTCCGGCACTATGGCCTTCCGGAGGACATCGTCTCCGACCGTGGCCCCTAATTCACATTACGGGTACGGAGAGCCTTCATGGATGTTTGGAACACTGCCCACGTGAGGCCCCAAAGCACCATCCGCAGACAGAAGGAGCAGGTGGACCGCCACCACAGTGAGGCTCCCTTGTTCCATCCTGGTGATCGCGCCTGGCTCTCCACCAGGAACCTCCCACTCCGCCTGTCCTGCCGGAAGCTGAGCCCCTGGTTTCCCACTCCGGCGCTCGACGTTGCCGGTTTACTAACCACTAACCACCGGTCCTGGCAACCCATCATTATGCACACCTGGACTTCATCACTTCCCTGTTTACTTCCTCTTTATTTTGCCCTCTGTGTTCATCAGTCCTTAGGTGTTGTTGATTGTCTCTCACATTCAGTACGCTTCCCACGTTTGTTATTTTGTATCTGTTCCATATTAAACTCAACTTCTGCACCTGCTTTCTGACTCCTGGCGTATATGTAACAATAGGTCGCTGTTCTAGATGTAGCCTACTGCTTGCTCTATGTGATCGTTGTTCATTTTTCCATGGAACTTCTGTCCGTCACTGTTCCACTGACTGTCAGGTCATTGTAGTGGGTATACAGTCTGGACAGTCATGTCTTTGTGTTTTCTTCCACAGGAGAATAGAAACATTATATAGTAGATTATGCTATCATCATAATGTATTTTCTCATGGCTCCACCCACCTCAGAATCAAGACAGTGACGTGTTCAACTATGCAGCTGTGAGTTTCACCCCCAAGAAGAACTCCTCCTCCTCTAGAAGAGCAAGAGAGAAGACCAGCAGAGAGGATGCAGTGTACTCTGAGGTCAGATACCTGCAACAGCAGTGAAAGGTATCACCACTGTCACAAAGACTCCAAGAAGAACCATTTAACTATTTGTAGCCTAATGAAACTTTTAGTATCTGAAATTGGTATGGAATTTACAATGCAACAAAGAAACTGTAATTTTAACATCGTCTATATGTTAGATTTATATAATGATCCTGTAATGCCTTAAATAGCCATTACTTTTTACAGCTTTTTATTGTAACAAATCATCTGATAGAGAATCCCATATTTGCTCTATGACTTTGTTTTTAACATAATAAATCAATCATTTATACACTCCGTACATCTCTATTCTCTGTCTAGAGTACATCTCTGCTACCACATATACAAATATACAATATGATTAAAAGGAGTAGCAGGTTAGCTGAATATGTGTCAAGCTCCATCACACCATTAGAAACGGAGGAACACCAACACACATCTATTTCTTATCAAAGAAGAGGTGCTTTTTTTATTTAACCTTTATTTAATTATGTTTAGTCTTGTGATAAAAATATATTTTTCAAGAGAGACCAGGTGCTTGCACACTGTGAGAATCTCTCAGACTCCACATACCGCATAGATATACAGTTGAAGTTGGAAGTTTACAGACACCTTAGCCAAATACATTTAAACTCAGTTTTTCAAAATTCCTGACATTTAATCCTAATAAAAATTCCCTGTCATAGGTCAGTTAGGATCACCACTTTATTTTAAGACTGTGAAATGTCAGAATAATAGTAGAGAGAATTATTTATTTCAGCTTTTATTTCTTTCATCACATTCCCAGTGGGTCAGAAGTTTACATACACTCAATTAGTATTTGGTAGCCTTTAAATTGTTTAACTTGTTTCAAACGTTTTGGGTAGCCTTCCACAAGCTTCCCACAATAAGTTGGGTGAATTTTGGCCCATTCCTCCTGACAGAGCTGGTGTAACTGAGTCAGGTTTGTCGGCCTCCTTGTTCGCACACGCCTTTTCAGTTCTGCCCACAAATGTTCTATAGGATTGAGGTCAGAGCTTTGTGCTGGCCACTCCAATACGTTGACTTTGTTGACCTTAAGCCATTTTGCCACAACTTTGGAAGTATGCTTGGGGTCATTGTCCATTTGGAAGACCTATTTGCGACCAAGCTTTAACTTCCTGACTGATGTCTTGAGATGTTGCTTCAATATATCCACATAATTTTCCTTCCTCATGATGCTATCTATTTTGTGAAGTGCACCAGTCCCTCCTGCAGCAAAGCACCCCCACAGCATGAAGCTGCCACCCCTGTCCTTCACGATTGGGATGGTGCTCTTCAGCTCGCATGCCACCCCCTTTTCCCTCCAAACATAACAATGGTCATTATGGTCAAACAGTTCTATTTTTGTTTCATCAGACCAGAGGACATTTCTCCAAAAAGTACGATCTTTGTCTCCATGTGCAGTTGCAAACCGTAGTCTGGCTTTTTTATGGCGGTTTTGGAACAGTGGCTTCTTCCTTGCTGAGCGGCCTTTGAGGTTATGTCGATATAGATACTTTTTGTACCTGTTTCCTCCAGCATCTTCACAAGGTCCTTTGCTGATATTCTGGGATTGATTTGCACTTTTCGCACCAAAGTACCTTCATCTTTAGGAGACAGAACGCGTCTCCTCCCTGAGTGGTATAATGGCTGCGTGGTCCCATGGTGTTTATACCTGTGTACTATTGTTTGTACAGATGAACATGGTACCTTCAGGTGTTTGGAAATTGCTCCCAAGGATGAACCAGACTTGTTGAGGTCTACAATTTTTTTTCTGAGGTCTTGTCTGATTTGTTTTCATTTTCCCATGATGTCAAGCAAAGAGGCACTGAGTTTGAAGGTCGGCCTTGAAATACATCCACAGGTACACCTCCAATTGACTCAAATGATGTCAATTAGCCTATCAGAAACTTCTAAAGCCATGACATCATTTTCTGGAATTTTCCAAGCTGTTTAAAGGCACAGTCAACTTAGTGTATGTAAACTTCTGACCCACTGCAATTGTGATACAGTGAATTATAAGTGAAATTATCTGTCTGTAAACAATTGTTGGAAAAATTACTTGTGTCATGCACAAAGTAGATGTCCTAACCGACTTGCCAAAACTATAGTTTGTTAACAAGAAATTTGTGGAGTGGTTGAAAAACGAGTTTTAATGACTCCAACCTAAGTGTATGTAAACTTCCGACTTCAACTGTACATACAGTAACAGTCAAAAGTTTGGACACACCTACTCATTCAAGGGTTTTTCTTAATTTTTTATTTTTTTTACATTCTATAATAATAGTGAAGACATCAAAACTATGAAATAACACATATGGAATCATGTAGTAACCAAAGAAGTGTTAAACAAATCAAAATACATGTTATATTAGAGATTCTTCAAATAGCCACCCTTTGCCTTGATGACAGCTTTGCACACTCTTGGTATTCTCTCAACCAGCTTCACCTGGAATGCTTTTCCAACAACATCCCAAACCATCTCAATTAGGTTGAGGTCGGGGGATTGTGGAGGCCAGGTCATCTGATGCAGCACTCCATCACTCTACTTCTTGTTAAAATAGCCCTTACAAAGCCTGGGGGTGTGTTGGGTCATTGTGCTGTTGAAAAACAAATGATAGTCCCACTAAGCCCAAACCAGATGGGATGGCGTATCGCTGCAGAATGCTGTGGTAGCCATGCTGGTTAAGTGTGCCTTGAATTCTAAATAAATCACAGACAGTGTCACCAGCAAAGCACCCCCACACCTTAACACTGCCTCCTCCATGCATTATGGTGGGAAATACACAAAGACACGACGGTTGGAACCAAAAATCTCAAATTTGGACTCCAGACAAAAAGGACACATTTCCGTCGGTCTAAATTCCATTGCTCGTGTTTCTTGGCCCAAGCAAGTCTCTTCTTCTTATTTGTGTCCTTTAGTAGTGGTTTCTTTGCAGCAATTCGACCATGAAGGCCTGATTCACACAGTCTCCTCCGAACAGTTGATGTTGAGCTACAGTGGGGAGAACAAGTATTTGATACACTGCCGATTTTGCAGGTTTTCCTACTTACAAAGCATGTAGAGGTCTGTAATTTTTATCATAGGTACACATCAACTGTGAGAGACGGAATCTAAAACAAAAATCCAGAAAATCACATTGTATGATTTTTAAGTAATTAATTTGTATTTTATTGCATGACATAAGTATTTGATCACCTACCAACCAGTAAGAATTCCGGCTCTCATAGACCTGTTAGTTTTTCTTTAAGAAGCCCTCCTGTTCTCCACTCATTACCTGTATTAACTGCACCTGTTTGAACTCGTTACCTGTATAAAAGACACCTGTCCACACACTCAATCAAACAGACTCCAACCTCTCCACAATGGCCAAGACCAGAGAGCTGTGTAAGGACATCAGGGATAAAATTGTAGACATGCACAAGGCTGGGATGGGCTACAGGACAATAGGCAAGCAGCTTGGTGAGAAGGCAACAACTGTTGGCGCAATTATTAGAAAATGGAAGAAGATCAAGATGACGGTCAATCACCTTCGGTCTGGGGCTCCATGCAAGATCTCACCTTGTGGGGCATCAATGATCATGAGGAAGGTGAGGGATCAGCCCAGAACTACACGGCAGGACCTGGTCAATGACCTGAAGAGAGCTGGGACCACAGTCTCAAAGAACCATTAGTAACACACTACGCCGTCATGGATTAAAATCCTGCAGCGCACGCAAGGTCCCCCTGCTCAAGCCAGCGCATGTCCAGGCCCGTCTGAAGTTTGCCAATGACCATCTGGATGATCCAGAGGAGGAATGGGAGAAGGTCATGTGGTCTGATGAGACAAAAATAGAGCTTTTTGGTCTAAACTCCACTCGCCGTGTTTGGAGGAAGAAGAAGGATGACTACAACCCCAAGAACACCATCCCAACCGTGAAGCATGGAGGTGGAAACATCATTCTTTGGGGATGCTTTTCTGCAAAGGGGACAGGATTACTGCACCGTATTGAGGGGAGGATGGATGGGGCCATGTATCGCGAGATCTTGGCCAACAACCTCCTTCCCTCAGGAAGAGCATTGAAGATGGGTCGTGGCTGGGTCTTCCAGCATGACAACGACCCGAAACACACAGCCAGGGCAACTAAGGAGTGGCTCCGTAAGAAGCATCTCAAGGTCCTGGAGTGGCCTAGCCAGTCTCCAGACCTGAACCCAATAGAAAATCTTGGAGGGAGCGAAAGTCCATTGCCCAGCGCAGCCCCGAAACCTGAGGTCTGAGAAGTCTGTATTCCAAAATCCCTCTGCATTGTGCAAACCTGTCAGACCTACAGAACGTATTCTCTGTAATCAACAAGGTTTCTGACCAAATTTTTTGCTTTTCTGATTATCAAAAACTTTTCATCAATAAAATGCAAAATGAATTACTTTAAAATCAGACAATGTGATTTTCTGGATTTTTGTTTTAGATTCCCTCTCTCACAGTTGAATGTACTTATGATAAAAAATTACAGACCTCTACATGCTTTGTAAGTAGGAAAACCTGCAAAATCGGCAGTGTATCAAATACTTGTTCTCCCCACTGTAGCTCAACATCAACTGTTCGGAGGAGACTGTGTGAATCAGGCCTTCATGGTCGAATTGCTGCAAAGAAACCACTACTAAAGGACACAAATAAGAAGAAGAGACTTGCTTGGGCCAAGAAACACGAGCAATGGAATTTAGACCGACGGAAATGTGTCCTTTTTGTCTGGAGTCCAAATTTGAGATTTTTGGTTCCAACCGTCGTGTCTTTGTGTATTTCCCACCATAATGCATGGAGGAGGCAGTGTTAAGGTGTGGGGGTGCTTTGCTGGTGACACTGTCTGTGATTTATTTAGAATTCAAGGGACACTTAACCAGCATGGCTACAACAGCATTCTGCAGCGATACGCCATACCATCTGGTTTGGGCGTAGTGGGACTATCATTTGTTTTTCAACAGGACAATGATCCAACACACCTCCAGGCTGGAGTGCTGCATCAGATGACCTGGCCTCCAC